CCTTGTGTCTTTAGTTTTCTTCATTCTCCCTTGCTCCCAAAGGGGTGAGACCAGTGGAGTATCTCAGATGGCTGCTCACAGGCTTTTAAGACCCCAGATGCTACTCACCAACGTAGAATGTAGAACATTTTCTTTATAAACTATGTTATGCCAATTGAGCTAGATGTTTCCCTAGACCATGGACGCCTGGGGGGCTTTTTAAAGCAATACTGATGTCAGTAGAGCTGGATGGCTAGGGGTGTGGCTCGAGTACCTGTATTATTTAGAAGCTCCCAACTGATTCTGACTCATAGTGAGGAGTCCAGCCTTAGTGCCAGGAGTTAGTGAAAGAGGGAGGACAGCAAATAGGCGGACCCAGCTTGGAAATGCCTATTCCCAGAAGCTACCTATGGGTCAGGGCCTGGGCAGAGCCCTGTGGGGCTGGGGCCTACTCACCTCTCCTCCAGCAGGAACTCCACTTCCAGCTCCTCCATGCTCTGACGGGGAAGACAGAAAGGCAGCTGTGAGCTGTGCTGCACCCCTTTGCAGGGCCAGCACCCCTGCCACCCCGTGGACCTGCCCCTGCCCTTCCCACATGGTCGCTCTGCTGTCCTGGAGTGGGGGCAGCCGCTCCAGGCTCTCGTTGCTCTCTGCCTCTCTCTGGTCCCAAGTCTTTGTCTCCAGAAACATCACTGACAACCCAGGGGAGGGTGAGCGTGTGGAGCTCCGTCTGTGTTGGGGCATTTTCTTTTCATCTTCCACCCCCAGCTTCCACTGCTCTCCTACCTTCCCAAAGTGTCCCCAGTGCCTAAACAGTACCTGGCCCATAGTCAAAAAACCAGTTGCTGACAAGTTGACTCTGACTCATGGCAACCCTATGTGTGTCAGAGTAAAACTGTGATCCATAGCATTTTCAGTGGCTGATTTTTTGGAAGTAGATTGCCAGGCCTTTCTTCTGAGGTGCCTTTAGGTGGACTTGAACCACCAACTTTTGCGCCATCCAAGGATTCTGTCTCATACTAGGCACACAAATATTTGTTGAATACATCTATAACTAGATAATGTTCTGGTCCTTTCCATCTCTGACTGTCTCTGATTTGCAGATTTACCCTCATTTACCCTTATCATCCTCTGTCTCCTGGGGCCACCCCAATAGCAGGACTCTGAGGGAATAAAAGGGGGAAAGGGAACCAACATGTACTACATCTCTGTTTTGTACCATGAATGGTGCTAGGTGCCTTAATTACGTTTTCCCATTTAAGCACAACAAGCACTCTGCGTGGTAGGTAGTATTATCCCCATTGTACAGATGAGGAAACAAAAACTCAGAGGAGTTGAGTAATTTTTACAAGGTCATACAGCTAGTAAGCAATAGCGCTGAGATTTGAACCAGAAGCGCCATCTTTTCCCGCCTTGGCTGTGTACACAGAGAGGAGCCTGCCGAATGGCGTCAGAGGAGTAACCAGCTGCCCCTCGGGACCTGCTGAGGGCCTGGGCCCCGGCACACACCTCTGGGTTGAGTGGGAACTTCACATGGGTTTTCTTTCGGAAGCAGAGCTTGGTGAGGTCATAGAGAACTGTCAAGAGATGATCGTCTGGTGTCACTGTGTCTTCATCACAGACACTCAGCTCTAGAATGTTCTGTGGAGAAAGGGAGAGTGCAGGTCTAGTTACTATGGTGCATTGGCCCATTCCCAGGATGAAGAGCCTGACCTCAGCCCTAGTGAGGAGATGGGTCTGAGGGCTGGGGGACTAGGACAGAGACCCCTGCTCCGACATGAGAGCCATTTATTGGGAAATTAATTAAGGGAAGAAAGTGTCTATTCTCTCCTATCCAATGGTTTGAAGCCTTCCTGCCCCTCTGCTCTGAACTCTCCTACTCATAATTTTGCCTTTTTACAAGTGTGGCAGGCTGAAGGAAGGATGGAAAGGGCAGGGCAGGCAAGGCTTCTGCCAAGATAGAGAACATGCCCATTATTGGGGCCTCGGAGCTGAAGAACACCTCTTTGGTGCTGGAAAACCCAGATCAGGGAAATTAACACCTTATCATTCCAGGGCAGTGATGTGGCAGAGATTAGAAGGGTTCTGATACTTGGAGGCCTTGGGGTAAGGTGCTTGAACTCTATCCTAAAAGCAGAATATCAAGAGTTTATGAGGTCAATGGTCTCAGGTGTTATGGACTAGCTTCTAAGGTCTCTTGTTCCAAGGATCCTGGGCGATGTGGGTTTGAGCTATGTTTGCCCCTTAGGTCCCTATCTAGTGGACATAAAGTGGTTCTGAGGTTCTCAACTGAACGAGATCTGTTGACCTTGTGTAATTACTAGAAAATCAGGTGTGTCTCAGGACCAACCCAGTAGTCCCCTAGTCCTTAAGACAAAGGAAGCCCAAATTCCTGGTTTTAAGACTAAGCTCACACTGAAATCCTCCTTCCCTCACCAAATCCATATATATGATAGAAAAGATATTTTTAAAGTAATAAATATAAAGCCCTTCAGGAAAATAAAAAAGACTCCTTGTGAACCAGAAATGAAACATTCCTAATATGGAAGCAGTAAGCTGGAGCTGTCAGTGCCTCAAGACTAGGGCTGAGGCCTCCACGATAAGGCCAAATCTGTCTTAAGGCCCCTCTGCTGAGGCTGTCACGACTCAGGATGCTCAAGGGAGAATTCTCCTGAAGCAGATGAGAACTTGGCTAAGAGTCACCATACAGCTGAAGGAGACCAACACAATGAAACAATGCAACAAATGAAGGAGCACACACCCAAGGAAACAGAAATAATAAAGCAAACTGAAAAGGATTTAAGATAGAGAAACTCTCTGGCTGGAATAAGACTGGCCTTGGACCTAGAGTGTAGAATTTCTCTTCCCCTCTGTGCATTCTCTTGCTTGGAGCATGTTCTGGAAGGTACTGGAGACATATTCTGTTTTGATCAAGACACACTCAGTTCCAGCAATGATTTAGATAGAAGAATAAGAGAGACAGGAAGGAAGGTAGAAGATAAGTAGATGTGGAGAGGGACAAACATGAGACAGACAAAAGGAAGTCATAGGTGAGTGGGAGGATAGACAGGTTGGTAGAAGGGTCAGAAGTAGGCAGACAGAATGATAAATAGGCATAAAAAGGACAAATAAGCAAAGAGAAGGACAAGCAGGCAAGGAGGGAAATAAGAATGCAGGGGGGGCAGATAAGTGCAATCTTCCATATCTTACCTTCACTTGGCTCTGGATCTGGAAGTTGAAGGTTTCATTCCACTCTGGGTTTGGGCAGTTGGAGATAGTCTTAGTCCTCAGCTTCTTATGAGAGGCAGTGGGCAGCCAGAGGCTCACAAAGCAGTCTGTTTGGCTCACTGTTCAAGGAATACAAGGTGGGAAGGGAAAGGTGAGGAACCAGTCCAGGTCCAGAGAGGAGAGAGTGTGGAGTCAAAGGGAACTTCAGATAAGTCACCTCCAGAGCAAGACCACAGTTCATCTCCAGGTTCTCTCCTAACTCATGGATCTGACTCTCCAGAGACCTTAGAGAAGGTCTCAGGCTGCAGGTTATAGGTTCACAGAGGGGGATCCCGGTCCCACTGAACATTCTTGTGGACACAGATGGCCTCTGGCTCTTATTAGAGGCACCCTGGCTCTTGAAGCAAACATTTGCTGGTTTTGGACAAGGTATGGCCACACAGTTTCCCTTCTACCAGGTGAAGACCTAGGAGGACCAGCTCAGGGTGCCAGGGAAGCCAAAATAGGGCCAAGCTCTTCCTCTGGGCTGAGGGAAAAAAAGGGATTAGGGAGGGAATACAGTCTTCTGTGAGTTGGCTGAGGACAGCCCCGGTGGGAAAGAGCTTGTGGGGGGGGGGGAGGCAAGTCATTCAGCAGGATCTAGAAGCAAGGACCATCATCTACATATGACTTAATGCCTCAGATGCACTGGCCGAGCTCTTCATACCTGTCCTGGACTCCTAGCGTGAACTTTGGGGGCCAAAACCCATCACATCCGTGGTCAAGTACTTTTTTTTTAAATTCTAAGTGAACAGTCCAAATGCGACGTTGCCGAATGTATTCTGGAGGAGAAACAAGGTCTTTGTCCCCAAAAGAGCCTCCCAAGGTGGAAAAAGATCTCCCAGGTCTTCAGAAGGGAGCAGCAGAGGGATGGGGTGAAGAATAGTAGCCCAACCTGACTCCCCCCTCCATCCTGCCTGGAGGAGAGAGGGAGAAGTGCCATGATTGTCTGGTCACAGGGGAGAACAGGAGGCAGGAGGTGGAGGGCCAGGGTGTTGTCCTTGACTCAGGGACACCATGGGGTATGGCCATTTAATCCAGACAAAAGAATGGCCAAAACCCAACACGCTATATCCCAGCCCAACTCAATCACTTTTAGGTCTTAGGGGATGCCATGCCGTCTGGCCTTCAGGCCTTTGCTTGTGCCATCCTTCTGCCTGAAAGACCCTTCTCTTCTACTTTCACCCTACCCTTCTTTTGGCTAACTCCCTCAGCTTTCAGAAGGAACCTCCTCTGGGAAGCCTTCCTTGAACCCCAAAGTCTGAATCAGGTGTCCCCATCCAGAGCACTCTGCTCTTGTAGCCGAGCAGCAATACACTGTGCCCCACAGCAGGGTGACTCGTCCGTCTCTTCCAACACTCTGTGAGCAATGAGAGCTGGGTGACACATAGTAGGCACTCACTAGATACTTGTTGAATAAATGAATGACTGGAAAATCCCGACTTCCTGCTCTAGTCGGTATCAGTATCCCCAGAAATTCTGGGCTGAGTCACTGCAGGTGTAGGTAAGCAGGGTGGCATGTATAGTTGCTATACTGATAGGGAGACTCACCAGGTACCTGCTGAGTCCTCTTGGACCCCTCCCGAGGCCTTTGCTCCTCCTGGGCCTGGAACATTCTCCTCAGTTGTGTCTCCCGTATTCTAGGAGCCTGCGGACAGGGCCCTGCGCCCTCCGACTCTACACCCACTGGCTCTGCAACACTTGCTTAGCACGATTTGATGGACTCTATACAAGCTCTTTTCCCTCTAAAATAGCTTTGCTGTCATCAGTCCGTGCCTGAATTCTCCCATTAAATAAAATCTCAAAATTTTTAGCCTCTGGAGTAAGTCTCTGGTTAAGATAAAAATACCCCTGGAAGAAACAGGATTGCTCAGACACCACCCACACTTCAAATGTTAATTTGTTTTCCAGCCCCTTTGCAGAGATGGGTTTGTTTGTTTGTTTTGTTTGTCAAAGGCTGGGAAGAAGGAGGGTACAGCCCAAGGGGTTGCTGAGGAGGGGGATGCTGGAAGAAGGTCATGGGGGCCTAGGTGATAGTCTGAGTCAGGCGTCATTAGCTGACTGTAAGGACAGTGACCGCCATGATTGGCAATGAAGAGCGGTTAAGAAACAATGACACAATTTTGAGAATTTCATGCACTAAAGGGGATTTTCACGGCATAGATAGCTCCTAGTCCTTGTTCCTCATGAGGCAACAGAGGGCTTGGTCATCCAAATGACATGTCTCCTTTCCTGGAATGTGGGTGACAAAGATGACTCAATTATCTCTAAAGATGACAGGATATTATCTTCCTAATACCTCTAGAGACACCTGCCTGACACCACTTGGGGTGCTGGTTTGGATTTTAATTTGTTTTCTGCAAGAGAAATATAGGCTCCTGGTGGCTGGGAGGTTTCTGGGTTTCTGGACCTGCCTCTCTCCCAGGCCTTGCCTAGGGCTGGGCTGGGCACGCCTTTACTTCCTGGCAAAGGAGTTAGCCCAGAGTCTCTGTAATCGCAGGCTTTCAGCCTCTTTGAAACCTCGGGAACCCCAGGTCCTGGTTAGAGGACTAACTCAGAGAGGGGTTCATTTTCTTACTCAGGCTAGAAGGGAACGAGTTGGGGTGAGGATCACCCAGGAACTGAAAGGATCAGCAAGCACCCTGGCCCAGCCCATGAGGACCGTGGAGTCTGATTTAGGAAATAATATTGGAGTTATTATTCCCTGTCCTTGAGCATAGAGAACGTGACCCAATTGGAGCTGGGCTCACAAGGACTCACAAGGACACATCAACTCGGCCCTGATGTATAAAGCCAATAACTAAGATAATCTTGGAAAGTATCTTTTAGGGAAACTGCCACATAAAGCCGATCAAACACAACACAAAGACTTTTCACTCTTACCTTTTTCTATGAGCACTTAATGAATAGAAAATTTGTTGGACCAATGAGGACCCTCCTGACTGTCATTACTGAAACCTGTACCAATGATTGTTAAGAAAGACAATTCAAAATGTAGGATCACAGTTCCTAGCCAATCTGTGAAAAGGTGAAGCTTTCAATGGTTTTGCCCATTTGTAATGTTAATATATACTGATGACTCTGTAATGGTCGCTGGACTTGGGCAGACATGGCTGTGGCAGCATGCTTGTCCGTTTTCCCATTCTTGCCTATTCTGTAATATTCTTTGGACTCGGGCAGACATGGCTCTAGCAGCGTGCTTGTCCGTTTTCCCACTTTTGTCTGTTCCGTGATATTTCCTTGGACTCGGGCAGACATGGCTGTGGCAGCGTGCTTGTCCGTTTCCCACTTTTGCCTTTTTGAATATATGCTGAATAAAACTTTCCTTTTGCTTTACTAAACATTGTGATGTTTTTACCCTGCAACAAGTCCAGGCACAACTTGGCTGGGGTTGAGGACTGGAGCTGGGAGGAAAACATTAACAACAAGGAGGTCCCTGAAGGGGATGCAGCACCCCTAAAAGGCAGTCTGCGTGCCAGAGGAGTGTGCGGGGAAGTGGAGGAGGAGGGTGGTAGAGCCAGATCAGAGTCCATCTCTCGGGCTGCCTGCTCTCCCCTCCCTCCTGCCAGAGGATCCATAGGTGACGGGCGTGGCAGAGAGAAGACAGAAGAAAGGGCCTGGACAATGGGAAGGTCTAAGCAGCAGGTGCAGGCACGCAGAGATAGTGGGAGGGTACGGCCAGGTGATTGGAGGGCTGGGGACAGTCACACCTAAGAGGAGTCGGAGGAGGGCACATCCTGTTGCAGGCAAGTGTCATCATCCCCAAGGGGAGCGGGGTGAATTCTGCCCAAGAGAGGATGAGACGTCCGAGCAAGAAGTACGAGAAGTCTCTGGCCCTCTTGCTGGCCTCTTGGCAGACGCAAGCCCAAACCTGGGGCTTGCTGGGACTATTCCCGCCAGCCTGGGCTCTGGGCATCATGCCCGGGCACCTGGTGGGTGGAGGTCTGAATCCTGGCCGATTCCTTTGCTTTCGCTAGTGCTCCAGGGCCCCGCCCTCCTCTGACCATCCACACTCATCCCTGGATTGCAACAACAGCTTCTGAGCAATTTCCCAGCCTCTCCCCACCTCTGCTGGAGCACGATCTACATACTCACTCTCAGGAAGTCGTGCAAGCCCCTCCATCTCATCACAGAGGCATCCAATCCCTCCTCTGCCAGGCTGCCCAGCTCCCACTGGCCCAGCCTCCTTCTCCGGATTGTCCCCTCTCTGTCCCGGTTCACCAGGGCTGGGAGCAAACACAACTTCTGCCCTGGCGATCACTGACCTCTCATCTGTCAGATGGGCCTCATAGTAGTACCCCTCAGGCTGGTGGGAGGAGCTAATGGTATTTGGACTCCAGGCTGACCCATGGCGGGCATCAGGAGATATGGGGGGGTAGTCCCTCCCTCTCTCAGGGCAAGCCCCCCCAGAGCACGTTCACATTCTACCCTCTCAGGCCCCAGCCCTCAAATGGAGCCTTCCTTGGCCACTCCCAGCTCTCAGTGTCTTCTCCGGCTCTAAATTCCGTTGTGGCAAGATTAGTACACCATCTTCTGTTGCTCTACGTTCACTTTGGAGACTTCTCATTAGAATGTGTACGCAGTATCGTGGCTTCCATGTCTTCTCTGCCCCACTTAATCTCTACCGATTGCCGTTGAGTCGATTCCAACTCATGGCGACCCCATGTGTTACAGAGTAGAACTGCTCCATAGAGTTTTCTTGGCTGTAATCTTTACAGAAGCAAATCACCAGGGCTTTCTACCATGGCACTGCTGGGTGGGTTCAAACCACCAACCTTTAGGTTAATAGTTGAGCACAAACCATTTGTGCCACCTGGAGGCCTTTTTGAATTCCACAGTGAGGGCAACAGAAGTATAGCAGAGCTTTGGGGAACCCTGGTGGCCACTGAGCCATACCTGTGTAGCCACCAATGAATGGAGACACCCACACAGCCATAGGGCATGGACTCCAAGAGAAGACAAGAACCACAGAGCTTTCTCCTGCTTGGGGGAAAGAAGGTGTGGGCAGCATGGGGAGGGGTTTTTGGGTCTTCTGACCTCTTGAAATGCCACCCCAAATACAGGCGTGGAGGATACTCCTCCCCACCCAAACCAGAAAAAATACCAAAGCCATTGCCATCAAGTCAATTCCGACTCATAGTGGCCCTGTAGGACAGAGTAGAACTACCCCATAGAGCTTCCAAGGAACGCCTGGCGGACTTGAACTGCCAACCTTTTTGTTAACAGCCATAGCACTTAACCACTGTGCCACCAGGGTTTCCTTCCCACCCAGATGCCTTCATTTTTCCCTGAAGCCAGAGGTTTTCGTGGCCTGAGCAGCTTGAGAATGCAGCAGGAGTTGGGGTGAAGGGGAAGTCAGGGCTAAGAGAAAACACCACAAACAACCCTAGTAAGTCCATAAGGCTGAACTGGGGAGCAGGGTGCTATGGGCATCTGGTAGGGAGCCCAGAGCCCAGTTTGGACCAATGTCATGAGAAGGGGCTCTAGGATTGGCTGGCTGCTGGCTCCATGGTGCCTAAGGGCCTCTCCTTCCCATTCACCCCAGGAGCCCCCAAAATCACAGAGGAGCAAGGGACTCCCAGTGTGGGAAAGCTGGTGCTCCTGGAAATGGATACTAGGGAGAGGCAGGGGGCGAGGAGAGAGTGAGGTGAGCAGCGCTCTCAGACACAGTGGGGCTGGTAGTGCCATGGTTACAGCTAGAGTGGGGGGTAGGGAGTATAAGCCTGGAAAAATGTGTATAAACCCCAAGTCACTGAAGGCGGAAATACAACCTCAGTGTAGAATACACACACGTGCACACACGTGCACACACACGTGCACACAGGCACACATGTGCACACACACCCCTCTGACAATTTCTCCAGCCAGGGTCTCTCTCCATCCTGGCCCCATGAGCAGGAAGAAGGAAGGAGGAGGATACTCACACACATCAGCCCGGTGGACATTTCTCATCCGGATGATCCTCACTGTCAGCAGGTGGCATGGAGACAGTTCCTTCTGAGGATTGAGAGAGAGTGGACTCAACTTTCAAGCATCGCCCCAAAGCCAATGCCCCTGGAAAGACTTCCCACCACCCTTCCAAACCTGCCCAGTTGCATTACAGCAACCCGCATGCTGTTCTGTGCTCTCTTGGGTATCTGCCTCTTTCCAGCCTGGAAGGTCCTGGAAGGTCCTGGGAGCCTGGAACCCTGTCTGGGTTTCCATCTTTATGTTCCCAGTACCTGCAGCATGCTGATATATAGAAGTGCTTAATAAATGCTTGTTAAATGAGTGAATGAATGAATGAATGGATGTTCTAGCCCCAAGTGAAGAAGAAATACTCATGGCAAGGGAGTCCTGAAATGTTTCCCTTCTCCGTTCTTCATTGAATAATTTCTTATTGGCACTCCCGTCCCCTTACCCCCCACACAGAGAAGAATTTCCCTCACCCACCCAAGCTTGCTCAGGAGGCAGGCACAGTGTGGCTCAGAGAGTGACAGACCCTGAAGAAGCTGGGACACCTAGCCACTGAGTGTTCTCATATCAGGTCCCCCCACACCCTACTGAGGACATCCAGCATGTTCCTTGCCTGCCAAATGTCACTTCTGAGCACCTGTTATGTGCCAGGCCCTACACTAGATGCTGGGCATCAGGAGGGCTCATGTGACAGAGGACAGGTGGAGAGGCTGCAGGCAATGACACCAGGTGGCCTTGACAGGGGAAGCTGCTCAAGCTGGCCATGGGCTCCCGCTGCCAAGCCGTAGGGCTCTCCCTGCCTCGAGAAGCCTCCCCACAGCCAATCTGTGTGGTTTATGGAGCTCTGGAGGACTGTTTAGTCCCTAGGGGGCCCAAGGTAGTCTGGCTGAGGGGCCTTTCCCTCACACCACTGTGAGCTGACACACAGCAGGCGAGGGCAGCTTCTTGCCTGTTCTGCCCCTGCAGCCTTTCCTGTCTGAATCCCAGGATTTGGAGCCCCTTCTGTGAGGGTTTTACCCAGGCTTAGCTGAAGCTTTGTTATCATCCACTCCTGGCCCATTTCCATGGCAAGGGACATCAGATTCCTTCAACCCCCAAACTTCTGCATTTGTAAGAGGCCTTTGAACTAGAACCCTTTTCACATCACCCCACATGTTGCTATAATGTGGTACGTATTGGACATGTGCTATAATGCTGTTAGAATCACATTATACCTTTTGAGAAGTACGCAATTCTTCGTTCTTTAAAACCATAATGGGGTTTTGGGGGAAAACATGAAAGTGTGGGGGAAAGAGAGAGTCACCCATAATCCTACCACTGAGAGACAGCGCTGTAACTGTTGTGACGTAGGCCTTTCAGCCTTTGCTGGGGCTTAATTCTAACCAGCAGCAACAGAACAACAACTATGGGAAGGCTGAGTTGCTTATTCTCTGAGACAGACATGTAAGTAAATTTTAGAGCCTTCCTCCCCTCTCCCCAACAGCTGCCTTGAAATCAAAACAAAAGGCTAAACTGACAGCCATATGTAGATCTGATAATTACTTTTCTAAGAGTAACTCTGAAAAATCAAATATTTGCTTGGCTGTTCACTTGCTCTAACAACATTCTGTTTTGATATTTGTAATTTAGGCCAAAAGCGACATACGCTGCTTCTCTACTTGGTTCTAGAAATCTGGCTGTGGTCTTTGGCCAGACCCCCTTCTGGGCATGGTACGCTCCTCATTTCCCATTCCCCACCCTGGGCAGAGCAGGTGTCCTGGTCTGACCTGGTGAGGAGGCAGGAGTCAGGTTTCATACTCAGGAGAGCAGATCTGGCAAATCATGGTTCCCACTTGTTCCACTTTCTCAGAGAACCATTAGAGTTTAAGTGGGCAGTGCCTGGAGGTCTCTGCCTGAGCAGGGCTCAGCTCCTTAGGGATATTTCATGGAGTTTAAGTAACCACTCTAACAAAGGGAAGGGGGCTATTAGTGTTTAGTGGTAGAATTCTAGCCTTCCATACAGGAGACCCAGGTTCAATTTCTAGACAATACACCTCATGTGCAGCCACCACATATGATGATGAACAGGTTCTGGTGGAGCTTCCAGACTAAGATGGACTAGAAAGAAAGACCTGTTGTTCTACTTCCAAAAATCAGCCAGTGAAAACAACAGTTCGATCCACAACTGATCGTGTGGATGGCACAGGACCGGGCAGCATTTCCTTCTCTTATGTAGGAGGTTACCAGGAGTCAGGGGCCAAATGGATGGCAGCTGACAACAAGGGCTCTGAAACCAGGACCTATGGTCCTCTCAAGTCATCACAGCCTTTCTCCTGCCTCTGGGAGGGCCCGCCCTTCACCAGCCTGGTTCACTTAGTATCTGCCCGAGAAGGTCTCCAGGGAAGATTCAACTTCTCGTAGGACCTCACTCAAGATCTTCCTGCCCTCTCTCCCGTCAACTAAGTCTGATACCTTCCAATGATGTTAACCATTTCTTCCTGCTTAGCAATAATAATATAACATTGCCACCTGTTGATGCTTGCTGTGTGCTGGGGCTGTGTCCATATTCTCTGTCTATTGTCTTGCTTAATCCTTATAACAACACCTGAAGCAGTTATCATTAGCCTCGCTTTACAGGTGGAAAACCTGAGGCTAAGTCCTTTGACCGAAGTCACTCAACTAGAATCACAGGAGCCCAAGCTTGAATCTATTCTGTCTAATTCTCAAAGCTATGTTCATGACCATGTCTATGACCTCACCTTACTTGAAAACAATCCTTGGCCAATGTGAAGACAGGTGTTGTTTGTCCTCATCTCCTCTTTCTTGGACTTCTTTTCTCAGAACATATTTCCCTGACAGATTCCTCTTCTTTCCACCCTGAATTCCCCACAAAGTGCAGAAGTAACCCCCAAACTCTGACAGTTCTTCTACCTGTAGCCCTCTCACTAGCTACATTTCTATTGACACACTCCATGATCACTTTCTTTGTTTTTTGACAGTCAGCAAGGCAAAGCTTCACAGCAGGTCAGAGCTGTAAGCATCCTTGGAGAAGTTCTCATTTTCTAGTAGCCACAGGGGCCTCCTTTGAGGTCTACCTTGAGCCTCAGATCATACCTTCTAGCTCAGGAGCTTCCAGGAGAGCTCCAATTCCAAAGTGCTCCTACATTTTGCCAGAAGGAAGATAGAACCTGGAAGGGGGTGTGAGAGATACCCTAGAGGGGCCCAGTGGGAGGAAGAAAGCAGTCACATGGGACTCAGGAACCAGCTCCATGAAAAATGGCCTTCTTGGATTAAAATGAACGTACATAATTTGCTCCTGATATAATCAGCTCAGTTGGAGTGGTGCTAGAGATTAGCATATGTCATAGCCCTGGAGGTGATTGATATAGAGTAGAAAATGCAATAAAACAAAGCATAGTGTCTATGACTATGCAGTGGTAACCAGAAACCAGTGAGATTATGGAACTCAAATTCATAGGGTAGCTTGTGTCGTGGAAGGGTCAAAACATTAAGGAGTTGGACAAGGGCATCCCTAGGACAGGATGCCCTGGCTGGGGCTGCGTATCAGGGTGAAAGTCAAAATATTTAACAACAGGCATGGCTAGGCACCACGCCTGCTGGGCTGTAGTCCTGGGCCACGGACAGGCATGAATCCTTCAGATACTAGTTTGTGGGGGCATTGGGAGGGTCCTGGGGAGCACTTGGAGTCAGGGCTCAGGGCAGGAACTATTTGCCAAGAAGTATAGAAGTCTATTTAGATACTTTAACTACTGGTATAGCTGTCCCAGGGATGACAGGCTGGATGGCAGTTTTGGGGAGACCATGTGGGAGAGAGGCCCTGTTGCTCAGGCTGCAGACACACCCAGCACCAGTGGGTCTCCTCGGCCTCTGTCCCAGGGGTTGGTCTTGCCAGGACAACCTCCTGAGCCTCACCAAGTCCCCAGGAGGAATGCCTTGTGGGTTCTAGCTCCCCTTCCAAGTCAGAACTCCACTTTCCCCTCGAGACCCTCTCAGGATGGGGGACCTTGGCAGCTCACATGGAAAAGATGCAGCCCGAGTATCAGGATTAGCTATTGTGCAATCCAATGCCGTCCCTTTTACCCTCTAGTTTTATAGATCAGACCTTTTGTGGGGTGGTTGGGGAACAAAATGTATCACCCTCCTCTTGCATGCCCCACACTGACCCTGTGTGGGGTGCATTAAACCAACCAGTCGCTAATTGAGCCACTTCTGACTCACCATGACCCCTTGTGCGTCAGAGTAGAACTGTGCTCCATAGATTACATAAGCTCTTATCTAGCCCTGCAACTACCCCCTGAGGAAGGTATTATTACCGCTCTTTACAGAGGAGAAGACTGAGTTTAGAGAGATTACATCTCACACAGGTCACACAACCCCAAAGGGGCAGGACCAGTGCTCAGGTGCAGGCCCACCTACCTCCAGGGCCATTGCACTTTCCATCACACCTGGAGGCTGACTCCACACAGCTGAACAAAACTGCCTGCGAGACGGGCTGCAGGTCATGTACTAGGTCATTAATGGCAGAGACAGGAGTAAAACCCTCTGGTCTCAATTCAGTACTCTCTCTACGCAAGAGTCTAATGTAACTACAAATTAAGTCAAAAGAATATTTGGTACAGATAGGCTCCCAGGGTCAGGCTTCTGGTGGGGAGGGGGTGGTCTGACAACCATGTTTCTGGGATGGTGGGTCTGATGACCAGCTCCAGACCAGTTACCCTGAATCAAACCATTCCACAAGGTCTGGGCTTCCTGGAGAGGGGAAGACAGTCCCAGGGAGCCTAGTGGGAACTTCCCTGCCCAGGGCTTCTCAGGCAGACCTGGCTGGTGATGCCACCTTCTCCTCTCTAGAGAGCTGGGTGTAGCCACCAGATCCTTGCAACACCTGTGTCAGAGCTTGGGACAGCCTAGTTATACCGCCAGGATGCATGGGGCCTCCCTAACAGGAGGCCACTAGAGCGGGGACTTTATGGGACCCCAGAGCATTTCCCAGCCAGCCTGAGCAACGTCCCCAGGCTAGGCGTCACCTGGGAGGAGGCACCACA